TAGGCTACGAATCGCTGTGCAGGCATGTCCTTTGTTCGGAAAATCTCTACATACTGAGCCTTAGTGAGCTGTGCTTTTGGAAAAAAATGACCCTTCGTATGATTTCCTTTGCTTGATAAATATATTGACAGTTCAGAGATTGTCATGAAGTACATTTTAGTATGCGAAAGGATAAGAACTCATTTAAAAATTTTGATCCGCAGCAGTTATAAATCCAAAATATACTAGTAGGTATTCGCAACAGCTCATCAGCTCATCTCATTACTGAAAATTTATGTGTACAGGCCATATTTCTATCTTACGTGAATGAAATGAATATAATTGGATATAATTAGATATTGCTGAAAAGCTTACGATGTCAGAGCCTTCTAGCTCATTCAGAATATCCTTATTTTTTCCATCATAGCCATACGCTGCTGTAGTATAAAGTAATTCTGCACTGCTATGTTATTTCTTCACACAGATTTTCCAGGCATGTCCTCAAATCGTGGAACATCTGCGAGCAGTAGCAGTTTACAGTTAAACACTACGCAGCTGTTGCTTGTGCGTAAAACATGGGCACATGCAAGAAGTCAAGGATCACTGGAACCGGCAATGAGCATCTTTCGAAACAGTTTCTTCAAATGTGCCGAAATTCGAACACTAATGATGGCTGGGCCCAAAAATGCTGGTCATGAACGATTAAAGGCAAAACTTTAATTTGTTTTAAGCAGAGGACATTTTTGACGGCTATCGCTTAATACTGCAACTTGGGCCAGTCCTTCTATAAACTGATTATTCATTCCGGCGGTAAATTGGTGTTGGTAGTGCCAGGGAGTCAAATTTTCTGCCAGCTTATTTCTAAACAACTTTCGAAAGAGAGAGCCATCGACAGCCTTGCCAGCAGGTGTTTGATGTTGACTTACAATTACTTTGACTGCCTAACGCCGTCTCTTTTGGCAGCGAACGAATACGGAAAAAGTTTAATCGTTTAGTACTAAGCGAGTAGTAAGCGACTTCATTGTTCAATGTTTTCGTTTTACCTAGGTAGCACAAGTTTGGGATGAAGAATAGTGAGGGTGCTATCAGAGTTGTACTCATGCTGAAAAGAACGTGGGGTTGAACGGTGTGAAAATTTTAGAAGGACTAGTTTTATTAATTGTTATTAAAAAGAACAAATTTTGCAGAGACATGCGAAATCGTTCACAGAAATTATGGACAAATTGATAACAGGGCTGGAAAGTAAAAAAGAGGTAGTAGAGGAGCTGCGGTCAGCTGGTCGGGCGCATATTTCATTGCCTCGGGATTCGCGCGAACAATGTTTGTAATTTGAATTTGCCTCTGTGAATTGTTGCTAAAATTCGATCTCCTAATTGGGCAAAAAGTTGTCGCCTCATAACAATCAGGAGTGGACATCGGGAAGCAGATGCGCTCGTGGGTTTTCGAGTTAAATTGTTTTTAACTCGCAACGGATGCATGTGTCAAATCGTAAGGATTGTGCTTTGCCTCTCATCTGTGGGTTTACTTATTTCGGGATTTCACCAGCACTTTTTTCTTCAGTGTGTTTATGATTGGAAAGATAATTTTCCGTACTTTAAATCATACAGTAAACTAAATCGCAAAATTTTAGCTTATAGTTTGCCTCGTTTTGACTTTAAAGATCAGACAGAAATTGAGCTTGATTTGATGCGCTTATAATACAGTTAAATCTAAAAATGATTTGAGACGCTTTACCTTGTACTGTTTAACGAAATAAGTTTGCTAAATCATTAGTTTATGGCTTTTTAATTTGCATTGTGACATAATTTTGGATCTGGATCCGAGGCTGTAGGCAAAGAAAATTGATTTTAGTTTCCTAATCCAGTACCAGATTAGAGTTTACTCTCACAGAACTTGGCTTCTCAGCTTTTTTACGCTTGTGGCTTTCCTATAAACATACAGGCTCACAAATGCACGCGCGCACACACACACACACACA